ACTATGCCCTATCGGAGGGATTAAGCGAGATTTTTATCATAAGCAAAACATTCTTATCCAGTCATTCCGTACGAGTAATTACCATTTAAATTTTTTAATGGATGAAATTCCAGATTCTAGTGAAGCAAAGTTAGAATGTCGGATACAACGCACCCATCCACCAGTGCCGTGCAAAGTCAGACGAATGGATAAGAAACTTCTCTCAGTTCGGCCAGTACTACCCTTCCGAGCTGTAGCTGATGGACAGGTTCAATATTTTATTATCTACAAAGTTTACTCAGCCATTTAGCGCTAAAAGGCATACCGTATCTGTATCTTTAAAGTGCAAAACACACATATATGGAATCCAAAGACACTGGTTCATAAATTCAGACAGCTGATTCTTTTCAGATGTGCGTTTTTTACGATGGCAGAGAATGTCTTGGTGGAGGCGAAGTACAGCATATCATATCAACGTTGCATTACAACTAACTGATCATTTCAAGTTCTGCCTTTTTGTACATAATTTTCCACCTTTGTACTCGATAAAACTGAATTTTATTGTTGATAATGCACTTGAAACAAGGTCACAAGGTTTAGATTAAATAATTGGGATATCTGGGATGATAGTCGGCAGTTTTTTATATTAACTTCTTACGAGCTATTGTTCTTTTCCTAGTTAAGGTTTACGACCATAAGAATCGACTTTTCAACAACGACCAATACAGATCAAAGGAGTAAGTACCCAGTACTTGTGAGTTTGAGTCTAAAACTGACAAATGCTGATAAGCTCTTGCAAGGTTTTGGCTTCCTAACCTTCTTTCCTATATTTTTTTGGTCAAAGGAGGGATCCTGCCATAACTGTGCTTGTTCGAAAAGCTTGCATGGAGTTGTTTGAGCAATCGTCCAGATTTCATTAATTTTATTGGCTGACTTCAAAGTTTCAGCCGTTCGCCTTCATCGGAACCTGGGAAGTCAAAGTCGTATGTAATCCTTTTCTAGGACGTCAATAGCAAGATAGGATATCCTTGAAAGTGGATCTAGTAACAAATGCCACCAGAGCCTAGAGTACTGATAATATACTGGTCTTAGAAGTTAGCACAACGAGGTCTCAAACCTCGGCCTTATATTAAATTCGCAGTGGGACTGATAAGGCGCTAATTCGTTGGCAATATCAATGCACAAGAGCATGAGCAGTGTTCAAAATGCGCCTTAGAGAATAAAAAAAGTTTAAATTCTTAAATTTCGATGGTTCGAGAAGTTTTAAGAAGAAGTTTTCCAAATACCATTGACATTCAC